AATAGAATAGAATAGAATAGAATAGAATAGAATAGAATAGAATAGAACAGAACAGAACAGAACAGAACAGAATAGAATTCTTTGTTGGCCAAGTGTGATTGGACCACAAGGAATTTGTCTTTGGTGCAAACACTCTCAGTGTACATAAAAGAAAAGAGACATTTGTCAAGAATCATCAGGTACAACATTTAATGATAGTCATAGGGTACAATAAGCAATCAAATCATACTAGGAAACAGTCAATATAAAACATAAGGATACAAGCGACAAAGTTACAGTCACAAGTGGGAGGGGATGGGTGATAAGGAGTGGTGAGAAGGTTAACAGTAATAGTAGTGTACTCTTTGTAAATAGTTCGACAGGGTTGAGGGAATTATTTGTTTAGCAGAGTAATGGCATTTGGGGAAAAAATGTCCCTGTGTCTAGCTGTTCCGGTATAGTAACGTTTTGAGGGAAGGAGTTGAAACAGTTTATGTCCAGGATGTGAGGGGTCTGTAAATATTTTCACAGCCCTCTTTTTGACTCGTGCAGGATACAGGTCTTCAGTGGAAGGCCAAATTTGTAGTGCTTTACAGCCCTCTCTAAACGATTTATGGAGTCAGCATCATGCCCCCAACAATCTGGGTCCTCATCAGTAGTGGGATCCTAGTCGACCTTAGTCGCTACCGGTTCGGTGGGGGGTTGCATGTGTGCCCCTAATGCGCGCACCCCTAACAAGCCAATCAGCTGAGAGGATGAAGAAACGAAATGCTAGGAGCGACCCACCCACCCACTCCAGGTGCTTTTCAGTCTTTTATCCTCTCAGCTGATTTTTTTTACTACCAGTTAGGCCGAACCAGTCCAAACCGGTAGCATTCCACCACTGGTCCTCATTTTACCGATCTTGGAAGGCTGAGTCCACCTGTGTCCCCCTCACATCCCCCCCTCCGGTCTACACCAAGGGCTCCCCAATGCTCCCATCATCACTCAATAAGGCAGAAGAAGGGAGGTGCTGCATACCGAAGTCCCTGGAAGGAAAGGAGGGTCCCTGCCCGAACGACAGGCGAGCCGAGGGCCCCCAGTCTAAAACAGAGCCGTCACACGTATAACACTACTAACAACTCAAAACAGGAATGGGCAGAGTTCACAGCTTTTGTGTTTGCATCCTGAAAGATCGTCAGTGTCAGCATCGTTCTCAGCAGCCACGAGATGTGAAAATGAGGAAATTAAACAATGGTCTTAACAATGGTCCCATTAAAGAATATTTATTTATTTGCTTTTTGTTGTTGTTTATTTTGTATCACCTTTATTGTTGCTTTTTCTAAAGAACCCAACTCGGCAACCACATCCAGCACTCCTTTGCCCTCCTATTCTCCCCACATCAATAACCCTGTTTTGCAGGGGTGGGGGGGAAGAGAGGGCCTGCCCCAAGTCACCCAGTTGGCTTTCATGCCAAGGCGGGGCTAGAACTCACCATATCCTGGTGATTGGCCCAAAGTCACCCAGTTGGCTTTCATGCCAAG